GACACAGGGCCAGGACTCTGCACGTGAGTCTAGGGCTCCTCCGAAGCCTGGAAGGGAAGCCAGCCCATCCCGTCTGCCCGGTGCTGCAAGGCCTAGTCCCCTGGGGTGGGTCCTGGGATCCCCATTAGTGTGGCCCACGCAGAGCTGGAGGGGCGTCTGGGTCTGTCCTTGGAATGGCAGGGCCAGCCTTGGACCTGCCCGCCGACCTGCACTTGTCGCCCATGGGCTGAGATGACTCTGCCCTCCCAGGGAGGGAGGGAAGTCAAGGGCTTTGCCAATGGGCCATGCGGCCACCCTCTGGCTGGGAGCGGACCAGGCCTAGGTCTGTGCGGGGTCAGACGGAGCATCACCCTCCCCCCCCGCCTCTCTCCAGAGGAGCGTCGGAGCCCTGGCCATGACCATGGGCTCAGCACGCATCATACTATCTCCCTGGGAGTGGGAGCTTTCCTTCTGCTCTATTCCCAGGACTGAGGCTGGGCTCAGGGAGCGGGTCGCTGGGTGCTTCCGTGTGGGTCAGTGTCTCGCGTGAACAGCGTCCCCTTGAGCAGACAGTAGTCAGGTTCCTGGAGGCCCTGGCCCCAGCCAGGAGACCTGGGCCTTCCACACGCCCTAGCGGCCATGCTCCCTGCCCCACCCTGATGTCACTAGCTGTGGGCCCGCCATCTGGCAGGGACCCTGGCAGCCCCATTCCTCCCAGGGGCCTTGCCCCGCCCACCTTCCCTAGCATCTCCCGAGCACAGAAAACACCGCCGTCTGCAGAGCGTGTGGGCGCCGTCGTGCTGGAGGACGGGCCGGGCCCGGGGGCATGGCTGGGCTTGCTCCTCTGTCATGGAGGGAGGTTCTCTCCCTGAGCCCGACCGCAGGGGACGCAGGACAACACCAAGGGCAGATCCGACCCCAGGAAGGAGACTGCGGCGCTGGTGGGAGGGAGAATGGGGTGACATTCGTAAAAGCAGAAAATAAATGTGGTTACTATTTGAGAGTAATTCCACGACTCTGGATGCCGAAGGAAGAATAAAAGACATTTAACATGCTGTGTTCCCCCTAAAGGAGGCGACAGCTGGACGGACGCTATGCACAAGCCCACAGACGTGGACCTGCCAGCACAGGAACGGGGCACCTAGAACCACGGACGTCCACGGGACTTCTCCGAGGCACAGCTGGTGTCCGGTGCTGAACACACAGACTGAGTGGTCAGGTGCTGGTGTGAGGCTGCCGGGGATGGGGACTAAGAGACAGATGGACACACAGACATCTGGAAAGAGACCACGAGGCTCACACGCAAACTGCTGGGACCTTGTTTAGAGACTGAGGCCGTGTGGAGACGCTGCCACCGGCAAACACAGCACCAGCAAAGGGCCTGCGGGAGGCGGGGGCATGGGTGCATTGATCTGCCTGCAGCCTGTCCCCCGTGTCCACATGTCCCTCCCCACCCTGCGTGCCAGCGAGAGGTCAGGGACAGCACCGTGTGATGTGTGGTCTCGTAGACTTTCTGTTTGGTGGGGAGGCCATCCATGAGTCATGGTGAGGGGCTGGGGAGGGCTGGGTGGGCACACGGGCGCAGGCGGCCAGCCGGACCCTGATGTTGGGACTTTAGGACACGTGTGCGTGGGGATGGTGGGGTGCTCTCCCCCGGCCACTGGAGGTCCCAGCCCCGGTCCCACCTCGGCCGGCTCCTCACCCATGGCCCCTCGCCCCATCTCCCCCACCCCTGCTCTGCTCCTGTGACCTCTCTGCTGAGCGGCAACGGCGCATCCCCCCCGCCCCAGCATCACTACTCCCTGGGGCCGTCCTTGGACCCCACACAGCCACACAGGGCCCTGCTCACCGGTCCTGCTGGGACCTGGGACCACCTTCAGGGCAGAAGAGCTGGGGCTGGGGTGGGAGGCACGGGAACCCCACCTCTTCTTGCTGAGCCCGGCACCCTGAGACGCTCCGGGTCTTCCCATCCTGCGAGGAGTTGTCGAGAGAAGCACACTCTCCACGGGCCCCAGCTTCTCAGGGTGACGGCCACTCAGGACAAGGATGGCCAAGTGGTATCCTCCTTTATGCCAGCAGGACGGGACTCCCGGCAGGAGAGGACGCAGCCACACAGGGTTGGGGGGGCACCTGGCGGGCTGGCAATGCCGGCTGGACAGCCCGAGCTTCTGAGGTGCGGCCACCACGGGAGAGCCCATCTCAGCAGCTCTCCGGGTGGACACCTCTGAGCGTGACCTTGAGGTCCCTGACCTTGGCGGTCCTTGTGGTCAGGAGTCGTGGAGGGCTTGTCCTTGGAACCCTGGCTCACAAGGTTCTCAGTGCATGAATGTCGTGGTTAGAAGGGGCCTCGTGGACACACACACGTGGACACACGCCGGCACGCACACACCACGCAGGCCACAGATGCACTCTCTGCCCCAGAGGCTGAGCGTGTCCACGCTCAGCCTGGCCTGTCCAGGAGCTGGGCTGGAACAGGAGGGCCCCCCTGTCTGGGGCTATGGGGTGACACTTGGCCACGGGGTCCTGCCTGACCCTGGTTGGTAGGCAGAGGCGCCGTCCCACTCTCCTGCTGCCCAGGCTCACGTCAGCACCTGGTCAGAGGCAGACGGGGGCCGCGGTGTGTGAGGCTGTCCTGCGGCAGCCTCCGTGCCCCTCTGCCCCTCCTGCCCACAGAGTGCTCCGGGGAGTGCTCCGGGGCAGACCACATGCGGCCGTGCCCACAGCAGTGAGGTGGGCCTCACACACCTCGTTCGGGCAGAGAGGACTTTCTCCAGCCTGGGAGTGGGCAGCAATCATGGCTGTCCCACCGGCTATATGAGCAGATGGAGGCCAACGGCTCAAGCCAGCGACGGACGGAAGGAGACGACACAAGCTTACTTCCGCACAGAAGCCTTTGCTGCGGGGCTGCAGGCTTGGTGGGTCTCCCCCCTTCATGGAGACGGACTCACAGGACACCTGTCCCCACGAGGTGCACTGGCTCGGGGGCATGAGGGGAGAGCCGTGCTTAGGTGAAGGTCAGGATCTGAGAGTTCCGGCGGTCTGTCCGATACCCTCCTGGCTCAGGCTGGAGGCGACCATCCTTCTCCGAATGGACCCTGGTGCTCATGACGCGAGTTATCCTTTCCTCTAGCCTCATGGTTTGCGGATTTCCCTGCAACGCACCCAGTGATGTCGGGCGCCCTGGTGCAAACAGCTCAGGTGGCCAAGCCTCCCAGGAGCCCCTGCTCCAACCACATTTCCTCCCTGTGACGGGCCCCCTCGGGCACCTCCAGCTCGGCTGTCCTCAGCATGGATGGCGGAAGGAGGCGTGGGGGCACACATCCTGGTCAGCTGGCCTGCCCCATCCCGTGCTCTGATGGCAGAGCCGAAGGCCGCCCCCCACAGCATGTCCCCGCTGCCCAGGGGGGGCCTGTGGCCGCTGTTGGGCCGGCATTCTGCCCCCTTCGTCCCCCCCAGGACAAGCCCGCTCTGTGGCCACCACGATGGCACCAAAGGCCAGGGATGTCTCCTTAAAATCAGGCACAGACTTCAGACGGCCCTTGGCTGACCCTCCCAGCCATGGCTCCCAGGGCTCATATTTTATAAGGGACTGACGGAAACGGACAGATGCGGCTTCCCCATCCCATCCAGGTTCAGCTGGAGGACTCTGGGCGGCAAAAACGGTCTGAAGCCAAAGATCCATGTGCAGATGGGGGCAGGTTTTCCTGGAAAGCGGGTCCTTTCGACGCGGGTCTCCTTTGGGTTCTGCTTCTGTGTCTGGGACTTGGCCTCCCCGTGCGAGGGGTGGGTGCTCACACGGGGGTGGGGGAGGGTCCGCTCGCCGGGGCCAGGCTTCTGGGAGCCCCCGGGCAGGCTCGGGAAGGAGGTCCCCGCCAGCCACGCCTGCTACGGCCCCAACCCAGGACACCGCAGCCCGTGAACAAAAGCCATGCTTACCAAAGGATTTTTTCTTTATTTTCATAATTTAGCTGAATCAACACAAAATTGAATACTGTAAAACAAGGGAAAAAACGCTGTAACATCTTAAACCTCCGGCATCTGCCTCTGGTCTACACTCACCGTGGGAAGACACAGGCTCAGGGAGGCGGCAGAGACACCCCCCTCACGGCTCCCGCCCCATCTGCACTGGGAAGCCCGCGCCCGCCCTGTCCCTCCCTCCAGGACACTCAGACGTCTGCTTGTGTGGCGACCTGAAAGGGAAATTAAATACTCGTGGACATTGAAACGGGTCTTAAATAAGTGGGTCTTCTCTCCTATCTTCAGTCTATGGGTTGCTAGGACAGCTTCTATACACTTATTATTATTTTTTTTACTTTTCTTTCTTTTTTTTTTTTTTTTTTAGTAGCATAGAACTAGCATAGTGGGCCTGTTAATCGGACTGTCAGGTAGTATATAGTTCAGCACAAACTCAGGAGAATGAAGGACCCCGTGGGACCGCGGCCCGGCCCGGGGACAGAGACGCGGACTGTCCCCTCGTCCCCGGGCCCAGCGACCCCGTGCTCCAGGGAGGGCGTGGGAAGGTCAGGCACCTGCCATTCTCTGCAGGGCGGCCTGCCGCAGCCCCTCCGCTGCCAGACGTGAAGACCGAGAGGGAGCGGGACATGGACAGGGAGAGGAGGTCTGGGGCCTCGGCCTCAGGGCCTGCCCGTGGGGGAGGGGCAGGGAAAGGGACACGGAACCCGTCGGAAGCAGCGTGACGGAGAGATGGCGCACTCGCCCTTCAGCGAGCTGGGCCCCGGGCGGGTACAGATGGCCACCTCCCCCCTGGGCACCCGCCACGGCTCCCGTGACGTCAGGCGCGTCCTCGGCCGCTGTCCCCGGAGTCTTGCCCTTCCGCGCCGGCCCCCTGCCCCCGCCCCGAGCCCTTTGGAGACACGGGTGCCCCGCCTGCTGCGTGGCCGGGGGGGCTACCACATTAATTGTTAAATAGGATTTTCTACAAATATACAACATATAAAAACTGTTAAATATATAACTTTAGGCTTTGCAAAATACATTTAATGATCTCTTTCAAACAAGTGTTACTTCAGGTTTCTTTAATTTGCTTTCTGGAGCTAAATGGTTGTGTCGAGCGGACAGCGGTCACGGGAGACCCAACATGCTCTTGGCGGATACTGGATTACCCCACTACCGGAGATGAGCTGCAGAGAGGCGTGTTTAACTGGTTAAAACAGAACGTGGTTTTAGTCGGTCCAGTCCAGCTAGGTACAGGGAGGGGGAGCGCGGTGCCCTGTGTCCCCGGCGAGCCGCACTGGCCCACGGCCGGGTCTGGGTGGGGGCATCGCCGGCTGGGCCCCGGGGGCTGCCGCGGCGTCCTCCGCCGGCTCGGCCCCTCTCAGCGCGCCCCGCGGTGTCCGTGGCAGCGAGGCCTCTGCCGGGGCCGCCCTCTGCGCCCCGCTGGCATGTCTCTGCCCCCACGGGCCCCGGCCGAGCCTGGGGACTCCGATGGCCAGGGCGAGTCCGAGTTAAAATAGATGTTTCTCTTTGGTCTATTGAGTATACTGAAATACGAAAATAAAAGTGATTCGGACAGTCTGGGGCACACGGAGAGGCCTCTTCTGTGCCCGAGGGCCAGTCCTCCCCCGGGCCTGGCGTGGTCTTCCTCTCCCGGGCTGGCTGGGCAGCCGTCCCCTGCGGCCGCGCCCTCGTCCTCCTTGGCGCGCACAGCCCCGGCCGCGGCCAGGGACGGCGGGTGAGGCCAGGCTCCCACGGACAGCCGGTGCGGCCCCCGCTGGGTGTCCCAGGCCAGACTCCTCACCGCGGTGCACACACTCAGCTCGGGACCCCGAGGAAGCAGGCTGTCCTTGACGGGCTACAGAGAGACGGAGGGTGGGCAGATGGTGGAGAGCGGGTTGAGTCCGCAGCAGACAGAGGACCGTGGCTGAGGCGTGGACTCTCCGGGGAGCCAAGGCCACTCCCGGGGCCCCTCTAGGGCTGCGTCTGTCAGGAGACCTGAGGAACAGAGAGAAGAGAGCGTCAGCCCCGCAGACACCAAGGGTCCCTGCTGGCAGCGGACATGCCCAGGACGAGGCCACCAGGCTGCACCACCCGCTCCAGACAAAGGCCGAGACTTCAAGGGGCCAGAGGAGGACTCCCTCACCGTCCCCAGCGACCGCGGCCCCTCGCCCGTCTCCACAGCAGTCACTCCCCTGCAACACTGGGGGACACCCTGGTGACATGCTGGCATCCAGAGCCTCCGTGGTTGACACATCATCTCCTCCTGTTTTACTCACCGCACCCACAGCCCCCGTCCCCAAGGCTGGGACGGGCACCCCTGGGACAGCGCTGCAGCGGGGGCCATACCCCGCTCCAGAAGACCCAGTGCATGGTGCCCTCCTCTCCCGGAGCGCAGGCCGTGCAGCCCGACGCGTGACCCTTCATCTCCGCAAGGCCACCCCTCACCCCCACCCCTGCGGGCGCCCGGATCCCTGCAGGTCCACACCTGCACGGTCACGCATTCATTCATTCATTCTGCAGATTTCAACAGCAGCTCCCCCCGCCCCACCCTGGGATCGGGGCCACAGGAGCGCTTCCCAAACTGGGAGGTCCCGGCAGCCGCGGGGTGACACTGGGCATGCCCACAGGGGAGGGAGGCCCGTGTTCGCGTGCTGCGAGGACGCCTCCTCCATGAGGCCCCACGTCCACCAGCACGCAGAGCCGGCTCCACGGCAGGGTCACGCTCTGGGAGGTCAGTTGCCCCCTGTGGACCAGTGAGCTGGGGTGCTGCCGCAGGGCCTGGGGGCACCCCTCTCCCCAGCCCCCATGTCCTCGAGATAAGACAGGAATCAGGCTTCCTTGCCGTGGAGACCGGGAGGCGTGACACTCCTCCTCGGGGCCTGGGGTGGTCAGTGCTGGGCCCGGCCGGCCTTCTGGAGCTTAGTGACCCTGCTCCTCCCCGGACATCGGAGCCTGGGTCCCGGGCATGGATGGGAGTGGGGCATCCACAGCAGCCCTGGGCCTGGGGCCTGCCCACTGTCCCTGGGGCCAGGCCGCTGGAGGGACAGGGTGTCCCAGGGGCAGGACCTCGAGGACAACAGTAGGTGGATGCCTGGCCACCGGGGACCCTGGTGGGACAGTGGGAATGGGGCTCAGAACCCATGGATTGGAGGGCGGACAGCGGTGTTGGGAACCAGGGCTCTGCGGGCAGCCGCCCTCTGCCGTGTGGGGACAGGACGACACGGCCACCATTACCCGGGTGGGTGCCTCCTCCCAGAGGCTCCAGCCACATGCTTGGCCACTAACCGTGGATTTCAGGTAACACAGCCACTGGCCTCCGGCATTTCCCAGTGCAGATATTTTAATTACGAAAATAGCTCTGACTAGGAACCCAGGAGACTCGAAGTGAAAGGCCACGGAGCTCCAGGCAGAGGGGCGAGCCTGGGACCCTGTGCAGGACACAAGACGCCCGTCTAGCAGCAGCTGCAGGAGAATCTGCAGGGAAGGGGTCCTGGAAGGTTGAGAGCTTGGGGTGACGGGCGGCAGGTCCCACCCAAGGGGGAGGCCACATCCGACTTGCACCCAGTGAGGCATCCTCTCCCGGTCTCACACAAACCCGCGGGCCCGTGAGCCAGGCTGACCCCTCTGAAGCTGGGCTTCGTGCCCCCTGTGAGATGGGACCCAGGCGGCAAGGGGTCCCCTCCTCTCCTGACTGGTGGGCCGAGGTCGGGAGGGTTGAGGCTTACAGCCTCGGAGCAAAGCTGTGTGTGAGGAACGACACTGGCCTTGCTGCCGGAGCTCAGCCCAGGGGCGCGAGCCCAGGACCAGGGTGCTGTCTGCCCCCAGCCCCCACCTGTAAGCTTGTGCAGCTCCACGTCCCCACTCCCGCAGTTCACACCCTAAAGCCTGTCCTGAGTCCACGCATATCTGTGCCGACTTCAGCGGACCAGCCGGTTACTCAGCGGCCTACCCAGTGCGGGGGTTCCTTTCCCTGCCCCAGAGGATCCCTGCCCCACCCTAGTGCTCCCCATCTTCCTACACACATGCCGGCCTCATGGTCCCTGCCACTGGGCAGACAGGGGCACAGACACCAAGTGCGGGAGAGCAGAGGTGTCCTCAGTGAGCACCGGGTGTCCCCACTAAAGCCGACCGGGACCGGACAGAGGAGCCCGGAGCCCAGTACATTGGACAGACGTGGACGCAGACCTGGCTTCCGTCCTCGGTGCCTGCCTGTTCCCTTCCTCCTGCCTCGAGGCCCGGGGTGGGAGCACAGCACAGAGAGGGTGCCCTGCAGAGGACAGAGTCTGGGCCCTGCTGCCCCGGCCTCTGCCTGACCCCAGGAGGGGACCCGCAGCCTGACGCCCACTGTCCTGGCCCAGCCCACGGCCCCTCCCTAGGCCTGTGACAGGGACTTGCACTTGCAGTTGGGGCTGTGGCATCAGGGTCCGGTGAGGCCTCCAGCGGGGTCCCCACCGACGTGGGCAGAAGCCAGCATAGCCGTTCCGGCCCCGGGAAAGCCAGATGCGTCTGTGGCTCAGGAAGCTTTAGGGGCGGCCCATCTCAGGGCCTGCACCAGCCGCCACGGCTCCACGGAAACAGATGGTGTGTGGGCCTCTGCCGGGGAGGGGTGTTGCTGGCCGGGTTCACTGGCCTCCGGCCTCCTTCCTCAGGAAAACCTGCTCTGTCGCATCCTGGAAGGTGCCCCTCACCTGGAGAGCTCATGGCTGGGTTCCCGTGACAACAAAGTGAGTCACCCCCACATGAGGGGCTGCCACCAGCTCAGGGACGAGCTTGGCCCATGACCCTTGGCTTGGAGGGACCACCACGAGAGCCATCTCAGGCTTTCGGACAGTCCTTGTGAACACCCCGCCTCCCGAGAACACGCCCTCTCTGGGAGACCCTGCGTCACCTGTATGTGGCCCCCGGGCAGCAGGTGGGGTCCCTCCAGCCACAACCCATCTCCCTGGGGAAGGGTCCCGAGCAGGTAGATCCTGAGCCCCGTCGGCCCCAGGAGGTTCTCGCCGACCCTGCGGCGGTGCTGGGGGTGCATCGGGGTCCAGTCCCAACGGGTCATTCCACCCGCCCCGGAACGCACGTGTTCTCCGCGGGGACGGGCAGGCTGCTCGCAGTATCTGGCCGCTGCAAAGCATCGTTTAAAAAACAAAACAGAGCTCCCCAGGCCCTGCGAGTCCAGCGACCATGGTCTCCGCTCCTCATTAAAGCCCGTGTTCGGCGTTGGGTTGGGACAAGTGTTCTGCACGCGGGAGCGCGGTGTTCTGGATTGCGAGTCCGGAACAAAAGGTCCTGATAAACAGCAGACACATGGGCTCCGTGAGCCGTGCGGGAGGCAGCCTGTGCTGACAGGCTCGGGACAACGAGAGCCGTTGCCATGGGGAAGATAAGACACAACCGGGAGGAGCTTCTGGAAAGGCTGCCGTCATCCCTCCCGAGTCCCGCCATCTGTGTCTCTTCTCCGGGACCGTCCCTGCGGCTGTGCGGCTGGTCCGCGAGGAAGACCGGACCCCACGTCCTCCCCCAACCCGAGCTCGCGAGAGCGGCTGGAATGGCCGTGGTTTGCTGTTGGGTTTTAAAAAACAACAACTCAAAACAGTGTGACGTGGCCCAGGGCAGCTGTTCCGGTAATGCAGCGAGGCCGCGGTCTCAGGCACGTCCTGTGCACACCCTCCCCTCGGACATCTGGGCAGGGGCGTCTGGGTGGGTGGGGGGTGAGCTCAAAGCTCCCTGCGCTTGCTCGCTGCATCCACTCCCCTGTCCGTCTGTCCTCCAGGCCTGTGTCTCGCTGCGTCCTGGGCTCATGCTGCAGGGTGCTTGGGTGGGGGTTCGCAGGGGATGTGAGGTCCCGGCCTCTCGTGGGGACGAGGCTCCAGCACTGGCCCAGGGGGCAGGAGGGCCGTGTGGGTGGGAGGATAGGCTCAGAGGTCCCTCCTGCTCCAGCCCAAGAATGAGTTTGGACCAGCGCCCCCCTGCCCCCCACCCCCCAGGTCCTGGGGCCAAAACCAGGCCACTGCTTCCCAGGAGCCTTGAGGGCTCATGTTCTGCTCCTGCTGCTTCAGGAGCACTTAGTAGACACAGAGACAAGCAGCTCGCCCCCCGGAGCCCACAGCCCCCAGGGCCAGGTGCTGGGCCCCCATCCTCTGTGAAATGTCTCCCAAACCAGGGCAGCCGGCTGTGAGGACATGTGACACACGGCGGGCCTGTCAGCTCTGGGGAGCGTGTCCCGGGCCGCGGGCCGTTGGACGGTGCTGGCTGGGCCTTCCCGGAGCTGCTCCTGCAGAGGCCACACGGTGCCTCGGTGAGGGGGTGGTAGGGCCTGGTGCACAGGGCAGCCCAGACAAGGTGCCGAGCTCACTGGGCTGGGTCACCCGTCCCTGTCATGGCCTCACCACGATCCCTTCCTCCTCGTAAGCAGCACGGTAAACCCCGGTGCCCGGCGTGAGCCTCTGGACGCTGCTGTGTGTCGTCAGCCCCAAAGCACCGACGGGCCTGAGGCGCCAGCGGGAGCGGCCGGCTGACCCCGGGGCCCACAACCCCCGTCCACAAGGCCTGTGCGCCACCCACCATCCCCGGGGCGTGGGCAGATCGGGAGTGAGACGGGCCCCTTGCTGAGCGGGTTAGGACCTAGCGAGAGGCGGGAGGGCCGCCCGTGGCACACACGAGGGCCGGGACTCACTGACTCTCAGAGTCGGCACGTGTGGGCGCTCGTCGGACTCCCACTTGCACAGCGCACCGGGCGGTCCCAGGACAGGAGCGGGGCGGGTCCCCTGAGCTGGCTGGTTCCACTCTTGCCTGCCGTGGGCACGGACGGCAGCCGCAGGGATGAAGGGATGAGCACACGCAGGGGGGTGAAGGGCGGCGTGCGTGTGGGTGCCGCAGAGAAGGCACGAGAGAGGGGCACAGAGACGGGAGAACAGGGCAGAGAGGCTGGGAGGGGAGCCCGGGGCATGGGCGGAGCCACCACAAGCCCCTCCCCCACATCTCAACCTGTATCCTTGTTA